ATTCCTCATCTGAAGACTGTTTGGTAACCAATTAAGTTGTTATAGGACAGAAGAATCACTCGTAAATTGAGTATCCACTGTTTAATAAGAATTGATGATATTTCTCCAAGAGAGAGAAAATTGAGATGAATAAGCTACTTAGTTCAAAATAAAAATTAGTACACTGTCCTTTCCCTCTCTTTCCTGTTACTGGTGTGGGGGGGGTGGTCTAGGGAGTCAAGTCTGTTGCCTGCAGGCAATGTATATAACTTCATTGCTGTGACAATAGTGTGAGAAGTGTGAGGACAGAAGAAGCAGCAACATGAGTAAGAGAGTGAATGGAGGCCTTATAGCCCTTGGGGAGTAACCTGTAGCTTTTCTGTAAAGCACAATTTAGTACTTCAGGCAAACAAGTTTTAAATCTTATTCTGTCTCTAGATTCTAGAACCATTGTATTTGGTACTGCATGAAAGATCTGTGCTTGATTACAGATGAACAGAGGATGAATTATTATCATTGAATAAATCAGGTTATACTTTCTTCTTTGCTTTTTTCCAGGTGAGTCTTCAGACATCTAGATGACTGAAGATATTTATGGAAATATTTTGATGCCATATAGATTTTTTTTAATCTATAATTTAAATTTTTAGTTAAAATTGAATCTAAATGTTTAATTAAAAAAAATTTGTTTTGCCTATATGCCCATAAAAAGAATCGGAATTATCATAATTACTTTTGAATGACATTTTGCATTAGGATTCAGTTCCCATGCTGATTTTCTATTAAACTGGGAACCTGGCTTTTTTTCCTATTCTTTTTCACTTATTATTTAAATAAATGTAAAATGTAATATTCAGATCAATTTTCAAAATGTTTAGTAAATTGAATTAAAATTGATTACACTGACATTTTAAAAACTATCCATCTATTCTAGCCTGGCATTCATATTAGCTTGTTACAGTTCTTGTAACATAAAATTTAATATATTTTTCCCTAGTCAGTAAAATTGGTTTTATAAATACCCAGAAAGAATCTAGTCACATTTTTTTACCGACATCGTTGCAATGATGTGAGAAGAATTACCTCAACATTCTTAATATTTAAGTTCTTGGATAACAGAACTATGGTGATCAGTATACTTGGTGGAGGTTTTAATGATGCTATTTTTAGCTCCCAGAAACAAGTGTTATCTATTTTATGTGTCCAATGTCTTTTTACTCTAAACTAAGTTTTCATTATCAAAAGTTGAAAGACAAGACCGCTAATGACAATAAAAATGCTGGAAGAATGCAGGGATGAAATATAAATAAACCTCAAGTTAAATAACTTGGTCAACATGAAGAAGACAGATTATTTATACTATTTTATATGGAATACCCTGTCCTGGAACCTCTGAGAAATGGATTGTTACTAACTCGCTCTATTGGAGTTTTATTTTATTTTATTTTTCATAATTATAAAAGCTTGGAGAATACTTTTATAAATTGTAGTTTGAGGGTATAATTTACATGTAAAACAACAAAAGATATATATTATGTCAATACAGATGGTCCCCAAGTTTGATGGTTCTGTTGCTGAACCAGGTTCATCCTGCCCTGTACACACAATGAGCCAAAATGCTGAAACACCGGAGGTTTGCAGCAAATAGATAGCTTACTCAAAAGGTGACCGACCTCATGAGGAGGTGGGAGAACAAACCCCAGATCCACCTCCCTGAAGGCAAAGGGCTAGGAATATTGATGGGGTAAGGAATAAAGAAGCAGGGTGGTCTGAGGCTTGGGAAGCGTGGGGAGAGTGGGGAGCATGGAAGGTGATTGGGAAAAGGTGTGGTAACTGTCAATTCGCACAGGTGTAACTAAGCTACAGGTTTCTGCATGTTCAAAAGGTCGCCTAGCCGGCACCCGGCATGCCTGTTTAAGGGTCCGTGATCCTATCCAGTTTTAACCAGCTCACTCTGACCACACACAGCTGACTCCAAGTTCCTAGAAAACTACTCAGGCAAACATCTTATTGTTTAGGCTGTGAGCCCTTGGAGGACATGCAAATCTTAAAACAATCTTGATCAGTGAAGGCAGGTGAAATGGATTTGACTGACCATTATGTACAGTTTCAGTTCCATCTACGGTTTTTGACTTTACTGTTGTGCAAAAATGGTAATGCATTCAGAAGAAACCTTACTTTGAATTTTGATCTTTTCCCATACTAGTGATACGCCTTTTGATATTCCCTGAAGACGCCGGGCAGCAGTAAGGAGCATAGCTCCTAGTCAACCTCAGTCATCACACAACCATTCGGTACCTGCACAACCATTCTGTTTTTCACTTTCAGCACAGGATTCAATCGAGTACATGAGATGTTCAATATTTGATTATAAAATAGGCTTTGTGTTAGATGCTTTTGTCTAACTGTAGGCTTATGTAAGGGTTCTGAGCATGTTTAAAGTAGGCTAGGCTAAGCTACAATGTTTGGTAGGTTAAGTGTATTAAATGCATTTTGACTTAATGATATTGCCATTTTGGGCTTTATCAGGAAGTCACCCCCATCTTGGGTCAAGGAAGATCTGTACTAGGATTTTTGTTGTCTCTCTCATGTGTTTACCACTAGTTTTGTATATTCTGTTTCAAACCACTCTGAGACAATAAACAGTGCTTCTATTTTTCATCAGTAGGTAATATTAAAGCTTATTCTGAATATCTCAGATAATTATTTGCATTCTAAGGGAGAAGATGGTGGATTTGAGAACATGAATGCTGGACCTACTTGGTTAGACTACCTGTTAGAGACGAAACAAATCTCTTTAGCCATAACTCCATCAGAGAGTACTTTTGCATCCTTTTTAACTCTCAGAAATTCTCTTTACTTTCTTTATGTGTAAAAGAGAAAGAACATTTGTGCTACGTAAGTGGATTTCAGTTATTTTTTCTTTCCAGCTTTATTGAGATATAATTGACATACAGCACTACCTAAGTTTAAGGGGTATGGTATAATGACTTACATACATCATGAAATGATTACAGTAAGTTTAGTGAGCATTCATCATCTTATATAGACACAAAATAAAAGAAAAAGCAAAAAAAATTTTCCTTGTGATGAGAACTCTTAGGATTTACTCTCTTAACTTTCATATATAATATAGAGCACTGTTAATTATATGTATTATGTTGTACATTACATCCCTAGTATCTTATATGTTATAATATATATATTATAACTGGAAACATACCTTTGACCACCTTCATCCATTTCTTTTCCCTACCCCTCACCTCTGGTAATGACAAATCTGTTCTTTTTTTTTTTAATGAGTTTGTTTTTGAGGTATAATTAACCTATAATACTATGTTAGTTCCTGGTGCACAGCATCATGATTTGCTATCCATATATAACAAAATTATTTCAAGTCTAGTACTAGACTTAGCATCACTGTAATCATCCACCATACTTTTTCTTGATTTTTGCATTATATGAGTAGTCATTGTTCAAAAGAAATCTTACATACTCAAATGTAAACAGATAAAAGTAAGTCTGTCCTGGTTGGGGGAAGAACCTCTTCCGGAGAACACTGTGAGTTAACCTCGCAGGTGCCTTGGCATCCTGGGGGACAGAGAGTTTGGACACCATTGTAGGCAATCTCTAAATTTCTTCCTAGGTCTAAAATGCTACGGTTGGTTACATAATCCCTGAAGTGAATTGCCAGATCCACAGGATTTCCACCCCTTGAATTTTATACACCAGTTTCTTAATTGAGTGAAAGTTTACTTGTAATATCAGATGGAATTAAAACAGTTTTTCCACTGAAAGGAATATAAGGTTTTTCTTGTTTAGCTTAAGTCAAATGTAGTTTGTAACAACTTTAAAAAATTTGTAATTTTTTTTGGTCCAAAGATAATTGCTTAATAAGTAGGAGTTAATCTATGAAAGAAGGAAAATTCAGAGCCATTTTCTACTAATGCCTTTGGAATTACATTTTTCTTGCCGATCTACTTTAAAAAAGGGAGAAGAGCTACTATGACCAGTGGATTTTCACTTTAGGGTTTGCCCTTGGGAGTGGCTAGATGCTAGTAACTCAATTTGTGATGCAGAATTTATTTCTAATATAGAAATGATGTTCTAAGTGTACACCAGAGGCTACAGGATTTTTAGTGCAATATACTATAGCTCATTTATAGGTGAATTCCACAATGTGTCTTATTCTGGGAATTCCTCAACTATTATAAATGTGATTTCTATAGGAAAGTGAGGTTTGTATTTCAAGCAACCAATGCAGAGATGAATGCAGGGTGTTCCAAGTTGGGGACTGACCATATTTACTTATTGATCCACAGGTGCATGTATTCAGTAATTGTGCATCCATCCATAAGAAAGTACCGACACTTTCTTTTTCCCTTTTGCAGGAAAAATTGAATTTAGCCTGAGAGGTAGAAACAGAGGGAACATTTTTAGGATTAAGCTGTATGTGTATGTGTATATGTATATGTGTGTGTGTGTGTGTGTGTGTATTTAATTTAGATATAATAGAGACTGAATGTAATAAAATTGATAGGTGATACTAAGTTAGCATTAACATTTGTGAAATGGACAATTGCCTTGCATAAAGACCTAGTGAAAAATCAAGCCAGTCTTCCATAAACATTTTATTCTAGGGTGTGCTTGTTTTCCGAAACTACCTCTACTAAATCTCCTGTCAGTCTTGAAACTAGAAGGCAGAAAAGCTTCTAGTGCTACAGCCAACTGCAGTGTAGCCAGAGAAACAGGCAACAAAAATAGAACACCAGGATTGCTGTGCGTGGGTGAGGCAGAAACCACATTATGAGCAAAAGCTTCCAGTATTATTTTAGAACCAATACAGAGCTCTGCACTTCTCTCCTTGCTCTTCCAAAAACACATAGTACAAAAATAAAATGAAATTAAATGTATGTGCATTTGCCCTCTTAGAATTATGATTCTTAATTTTTTTTTCCCTTCCTTTCTTTGGAAGCAAATCGCCAGTCTGGAAACAGTGTGTAAAGCAAGCTTGGAGGGAGGAAAGAGTTAATTGCTTTTAAGGCCCTGCAATAGAGAATTATGGTTTGAAAGATAGAGGCTGGACAGCTGGGTTTGCTGGGGTATTTTTAAATGCATTAATGCAGGCTCCAATCACTCGGCCATGCTTGACCTATTTTTGGCTCAGGCCGACCATTGTTCTATTTCTGTGCCTGTGGGCCATGCTGTTGTTGATTCATATGCAAATGGATTATCACTAGCTTTAGCCAACTTGAGCTGAGAGAGACCAGAGAGGGGGAAGAGACACACACAGATAGGAGAAGGGCACCGGCTGAAGCCACTTGCAGGACTGACGGTTCTTGCAACGAAACTCTAGCAGCCTGAGGAACTATAAGCCAGGTTTAATTAGTTTCTTTTTCTCGTGGGTAGAGTTAATATTTTTCTACTTATTCTGACAAAGCCATAACCCTGAAGCACATTCCTATTGCCCACCTGCTTTTAGTTTCCGGGATAGCCTAAACTCCAGAGAGCTATAGCATCCACTTGCCCCTTTCTGCTTTGTACACAGGTTGGTAACAGAGGACAAGGGTCCAGGTCTTTTGAAAAGTGTGTGTCCATCTTAACAGAAAGGAAATCATTGTCGAAGTTGATCCTCTGCTGCTTTTCCTCGGGGAGGAGGGAGGACCGGCCAGGGTAGCTCCTGGGGCCCGTGCACGGAGCAGTGATGAATCTTTCATGGAGCTGAAGTAAGTGATTGGAATATGCTGCAGACAATTTACGAGACTGACTCGTGTTTTTCTTCAGATGGGGTGGCGGGACGCGAGCAGCTCTTGGCTCAGCAGAGAATGCACAGTATGATCAGCTCAGGTAAGATCCTTTTTCATAACTGAAACATTTTCCGTGTGAAAGGGAGCTGACTTGGGAAATGGAGCTAAGAAAAGCACCTCGCTGAAGGGTTTGCTGCTTTTTGGTGTTGATGTTGCTATTTTCTTGGTGCGTCTGTAGGGTTTAACTTAGATCCCTTCCATTACTGTCTCTGCATATTCAGTCTGCCCAGGGACAGGCTGCTTCTGAATGAAATCGCAAAGCTTCTGATGAAGGTTGGGACTGAGATAAGTAAAATGTAGTTGGGGGTGTTTTGCCTTACTCTGCAGCTAGGAAAAGGAGATCTCTACTGATTGTAAGCGTATTCTGATGGGACTTTAAAAATCAGGTAAGTTCATATCGGGGCTCCAGTTTAAATTGCAGCCTCCTCTAGCCTGATGATTTTTTATTTACAGTGTGCATACAGAAGCACGTCTATTTATAGACCTACCTTCTGAAATGTGTTTGCTGCAGGAGTTGTGAAGGTAGTTTTATGTGGCTTTTTCTCATCAGCCCAAAATGAAACTACTTAGGATGAGATAAAATTATTATTAGCAGACGGTTATTTTCGTTTTCTTCAAAACATTTGGGGAGTCTAGCTTTGTCAGGCAGATGCGATGGTGTAACACACACATAAAGGTGTTATGTGCAGGTGCAATGTTTTAAAGAATAACAGAAACAGATTCCCATTTCTAATTTCTCCGTGTCTGTGCTTGTGCTGATGGGAGATGAAGCTTGTCAGCTTTATCAATTTCTGTTTGTTCCAAGAGCAGACTCTAGGCAATAGCACTTACTTGTAGTTGTTGTTTTTCATATTTATTCCCTACAGCTAGCTCATAAAGCTTGGGGGACTTTTTCTTTTGGTTCTCCTGCATGTTTTGATCTAAACTGGCTTCAAGTTCTCCCTCACATCTTCTGCGTTCCTCTGTGAGCTTAATCATAAGTATAGATCACCTAGATTTCCATGATAAGATTGTAACATAAAGCAGCATTTACTTAGTAGAGCTAGATGGGAAGGAAATATTCCACAGGTTGGCAAGATGTCTGTTTTGGATTGAACACCTTCTCATCTCTGCATCTATGTTTGAAGCAAGTTTTCTTTAAACCTTGGTTATGATGATTAAGATCCTTCTGTTGAACCAGTTTTTTCACAAAATCAGAATAAAATGTCAATTTTGTACAATTTGGTGTGTTTATACTTAAGTGACAGAAATTATATTATTTAGTAGTGTCTGCTTATCTAAAGCAAAAGTACCAGAATTTCAGTACAGTTTGTTATCTTTGTGTCTATAAAGTTGACAAAAGCTTGGGGAGGGGTCAGCTGGTGCGTCTCTGATAGAACTGGTCATTTAATTTAGCATTTTAGTTTTTAAATATCGATCAACTATTGAAATTACTATTTTAGAGATCTTTTTGGTACTGCACTTTATACTTTTAGTCCTTATCTCTGTTAACAAGTTTAATGTTTCTTTCACATGGTGGAAACAAAGCTGTGCCTTTCAAGCAGTGACAGTGCTGGCACTGAATCTTGCTACAGGTGTTTGCAAGCTTCACTGTTTTTCAGTGTCTTTGATAATCATGTAAATTCACCCCGATTTCAGTTGACAGTCATTTTCTGACATTTAATGATTTTTATACAAATCAACAATATTTTCAAGCAAGGAAGCACTTGAGACTGTCTGTGTTGTTGTCAGTTTTACAGGAAGCAACATTTAAGCACCAGCTATTAAATGAAAAGTGATGTCAATTGACATCAACTCCCAAACCTGTCTGGTATAAAAATAAGGAAACTCCAAGTTCTATTTATTTTTAAAATTTGAAACTTAAAAACATTTGCATTCTTCCTGCCATGTCCTGTAACATTTTATTTTGTTTAATGTAATGCACCGTTAAGTTTAATTCCCCTAGTCTTATGTACTTGAGGCAGTGGCTCTCAAAGGTGGATTCATCAGAAGTATTTTGCAACCTACTGATTCCTGGGGTCCACACCTAGTGTTTCTGATATAAATGGTATGAGAAACTGCCTAGGTATGGGGATTTTTAAAATCCTGAACAGTTCTAATATGCAGCAAATTTCGGGTATGTAGGTATAGGGGGAATTGAAAGGGACGCTGGTGACCCATGTCAGTAGGGTTTGTCCTTAAAGTTAATTGCTAAATTAGGGCTATGTTTGTCTATATTTAGCTACAAATGTTGTTCAACTCCCTTTTGGACCAGTGGCATGGATGTGATTGATAGGCTTAGAGATGGATGGAGTCTTTTCTGAAAGAGAAAAGGATAAATGGTAGCAGTGCAGGGTGGTGGAGGGAGCACTGTTCTAGGAGTCAAAAGCTCTGTGTTCACGCAAGAGCTCTGCTGCTAGACAATTGTGTACCTGGTTTACTCATCTGTAAACTGGAGAATAATGAAGAATAATGATGCGTACCTTTTGGCATTCTTGTGAGGTTCAAAGGTAACATGTCATTAAAGTGTGTACTCACTATTATTATTACTACTTTTAGTGAAAGAACCTGGGTTCCTGGCTCTCCAATACCATGGTCAATCTCACCGTATAAGCCAGATGAGCTAGATTGTATGTCACATGGGGGAATGATTTTTAATTTTGATAATAGGTTTTCTTTAGTTATCTTATAAATGAGCTTTTTGGGTTTTTTGTTTGTTTGTTTTTTGTTTTTTGTTTTTTTGTTTTCCTGATCTGATAAGAATTAAATTCTTTCCTTGGGCAAATTGTGACTTTAAATCAAAGTGGTTAGTGTGTGTGTGTGTGTTCTGTGAAATGTCTCATTACATAATAATCAAAGGCAAAGAAGTTGCAGAATATGTAATTGGACAGTGCAACCCCAACAACAGATTTCTTGACATTAATTGTTTAAAAAGCTCTGTTTTGTTGTTAGTCATCGCTTTAGAGTTCCCATTTGTTATTCTAGTTATATTGGATAATATGCATTAATAGATGGATGATGGTTGTTTTTTTCTTTCAAGTTCTTTATATACTATTGAATTACAGGTGTTTTCTATGGTTCCATTTTTTCCCCCCTAATATTGATCTAGCCAGGCTAGACATCTAAGGTAGAATTAGGTTCTAAAATGTATTCTGCTAATGTCTTTTTAACAGAAAGCATTATTATATTGAATCTTGGAATTCAGTATGAGTGATGCATTTTGTCAGGTCAGTCACCACTCTTGTGGCTTGTGGAGGCCAATATAAGTGATAACTGCGGCGGAAACTGAAGCCCGTACAAGCACTGACCCAGGTCACTCAGCAGTAGCTGGCAGAATTCGGGGTGTTCTCGCGCTGCCAGGCTTGTTGCTTAATGCATTGGACAGCAGAGCTATCCAGACAATATTGGAATGATTATTATGAAAGAATTTCCTTGAGTTTGTACGCATCAATGTAAAATACATTGGCAATACGGAAAACTCATATTTTCCCCATGCATTCTTATTTTAGAGTATAAAAGAAAAACATTTGAACCTAAATTCTGAATTTCCTTTAAGGAAAATGTGTCTTCACCCTGTCAGAATCCTTTTATCTCTGAGGGAAAAGGAACATTTTAGATTCAGTAGTCGTTCATGTCTACTTGGAAAGCAGAATCTAATTATGAAAATGTGAGTCTGTGAAATGCTCCTGTCATGTCAAGAATCACTTCTGGTATTCCCCATAATTACTATTTTGCTGTTCTCTAACTCAGGTTATCTCCACTTAGAAGGCTGTTATCAATTGGAATATTTGATCGGTAGCAGTCAGAAAGCTAGTTATAAATAGGCCCATTGAGAATGGGGACAAGAATGAGTATTTGACATTTCTGGGGTGACACGGGTGGCATAATTGTTGTTATGTCCATTAAGTGAAAAAAATTCAATAAATCCCCTCCAAAAACTTAAATAAGCTCAAATTCTGAATTTAAAATCATGATTTTTATTTTAGAGATGAGACATTTGAAAATGTACCACATAATTTCTCACTACTGATCAATAATGAAATGATCCTAAAGTAGTAATAAGCCAGCACCTCCGCACCCCACATGCACAATATTCAGCATTGACTGAGCAAAGAAAATGATACAGCCTAATGCAACGTATCTCAGAAACTGGTAGTCAAGGGAAAAATGGAAGCAAGGATCTTTGATCAGAACAGTGAGACTTAACAGGGCCTAAATCCTGCTCCTCCTTAGAATTTTTCTGACAAGATGACAACTTCCTGAAAATTCTCACTAATATTCCCAAATCTGGAGGGAAGCAAACTGAGTGGATATCCTCAGCTTTTGGTGGTGGTGGTGTTTTTCTCTTGTGACTGAGGAATAGTAGAAAGGATTCTGGAAGAATCTGTGAAATGGAGGAAGGTGAGCAAACACTGCCTCTCTCGAGAAATGAAGGCTTCAGAGCACCACTAACTTGGAAAAATGATCTATAAGTCTTTGCAGTGAAATACCCTTCCCCAAGTAGTCTTAGAGATTCTACCAAGAAGAAGACACCAACTCACTGAATCCATGGAATTGTCTAATAATTGCTCCCCACAAATAGAGCAAGCACCTTAATAAAAACATAAATTCCCTAAAACAAGAGCTCAAAGATGAGACAATAAAACAATAGAATGGGATGAAAAGGGATATTTTAGGTCTAGGGAAACAAATTTAGAATGAAAAAAAGCATGATAATTATAGAACAAAAATATTCATTAGAAATAGCAGGAAACAGAATAGACACCAGTGAAAATCTTTACTAACAAAGAGGAAAGGCTGGAGACAATCAGGGATTAAAAAAGGAAAATGGATTAAAGCAATTGGAAAGAAGTCAGTAAGAAAGACAAAGACAGTGTAACAAAAAGTTTATTTGTGTCCCTGAAGTTGATATTCCAAAACATTGAAACAGAAGATCATTTTGTAAAAGTGAAGAAAGATTATTTCACTGAAAAGGAAAAAAAAAAAAATACTGCAGATTGAGAGAGCTTCCATCCTTTAGGAAAATTTGCTGCAAATGCCCAGCACAGAGTCATATCTGTC